ACGGCACGAAGAGCCAGAATAAGGTATAGACCGACGCCCCGACCAGGAGACGCTCCGCGGCCCAGCACGCGGTGTCGGCGGGGCGCGCTACTCGGCCCACGCCCCCCATGCTCCCGGGGCCGGCGCGCGCCGCCGCCGCCATCTTTGCGGCCCAAGCCCCCGGATGGAGGCGGGCGTGACCCCGTCGGACGCCCCGCCCCGGCCCCCCGCCGGGTCCCCTGCCCCAGGCTTTTGGGGTCGCCGCGCGGGGGGCCCTAAAAGCCCGGCGCGTCCCTGAAGCCCTCCACGCCCACCCTATCGCAGCGCCCAGGCGCGCGCGAGCCCCTGCAGGTCCTTATCGGAGGTGCCGGGACCAGGAAGCCCCGCCCATTGCCCCGCCCCCAGGGAGGCCCGGCCACGCCCCGGCGCAGTCCTGGCCACGCCCCCTGCGTGAGTCTGCACCTGCTAGCGGCGCTCGCCGCTCCGCCCGGCTATCGACCCCGAGACCCACCTTTTGGGGGCCGGATCTGATGGTGACCCCCCATCCCACGAACCACGCCTGTCTGTGCCTCCGTGTTTCCCAAAATGGGGCTCGAATTCCCTCGTGAGGATTCTGCCCAGGAAGAGATGCTCCCCGCAAAAGTACCTACACTACGGAGCTCCTTCTGGGAAACTAGAGAAATACAGCGTCATCTAGAGGAGGGGTTCGTGGAAAGTGAAATGATGATAAGACTCGAGGCGAGCGCTGTGGCACAGCGGGTTAAGCCCGCCGCCTGCGTGGCTGGCCTCCCGTGTGCTTGAGCGCCGGTTCGAGTCCTGGCTGTTCCAGTTCCGATCCAGAAGTGGAGTTACAGAGAGAAAGAGAGACTGATGTAGTCCTGTTTGGTGTCTGGCTTAACCCTTACGCCTCCAGGAGCCCGTACTGGAGCGCCCGGGTTGGACTCCCAGCTCCGATCCCAAGTCCAGCTTCCTGCACATGCGCACCCTGGGGGGCAGCGCGCGATGGCTCCAGTTATCGGATGCCTGCCGCCCACGGGGGAGGCCCGGATGGAGTCCTGACTCCCTGGAAGAACCCGGCTCAGCCCCAGCTTCTGCAGACATTTGGAGAGTGAATCAGGAGATGGAAGGCGCCTCTCTCTCTCTCTCTCAAATAAATAGATAATTTGGAAAACCTGAAGCAAATGCACCCCTAACTCTAGCGAGTGGCAGCAGAAGTGGTTGCCTGGGGTGGGGGAGGAGGGGCAGGGAGGGACTAACAAGGGCCCATGGGGGCTTTTGGGGGTGGCGGTTGCCCCAGTCACCGGCCTGTTCGTTTGAGGTGCGTGCGGTTTGTGACATGTCAGTTACACCCCAATAAAGCAGTGCCTACGTTTTAAAGGCATCTAATCACGGCAGTGTGGAGAGGGGAGGTGAGTTCCTCCATGTAAGGAAAGTGCTTAGTGTGGCCGGTGTGGGACAGCTCGGGCTCATCCACGAGGAGCGGACCACGCGATGGCAGTGTGGTGAGCCTGCGTGTCACAGGCCAGGTGGCCACGGGTGGCTCTGTCCTCAGCCAGATGAGGACCTGGATGAGGGCGCAGACTTTAAAGAGAAAGCGCAAAGGGACTGTCGCCTGGCTGGCTGGCTTTCACTCTCTCTGGATTCCTTTCTTAAGATGAACAGGCACGCCAGTCCTGTCTCAGGCCCTTTGCACTGGCTAAGACAGCTGCCTGGACCACTCCTCCCCTCCCCCTCCTTCAGATCGTGTTATTTCCAGCGTCCACACTAGGGGCAGGCATTTGGCTCAGCAGTTAAGCCGGGATCTCGTACTGGAGAGCCTAGGTTCGAATCCTGGCTCCAGCTTCCTGCTTCCTGCCCATGCACACCCTGGGAGGCAGCAGTTGGTGGCTGATGTACTTCGGTCCCCGCCATCCATGTGGGAGGCAAAGACGGAGCTCCTGGCTCCTGCCTTCAGCCTGGCCCAGCCCTGGCTGTTATGCCCAGCCCCCTACTCTCCAGTCTTTAACTACCTGAAATTATTTAATCCTCAGCATAGCCCTAGATGGCAGGTGCTACCATTATCCACTTTTTTTTTTTTTTTTTTTAAGAAAGGTTGATTTGGGCCGGCGCCGCGGCTCACTAGGCTAATCCTCCACCTAGCAGCGCCGGCACACCGGGTTCGAGTCCCGGTCGGGTCGCCGGATTCTGTCCCGGTTGCCCCTCTTCCAGGCCAGCTCTCTGCTGTGGCCCGGGAGTGCAGTGGAGGATGGCCCAAGTGCTTGGGCCCTGCACCCCATGGGAGACCAGGAGAAGCACCTGGCTCCTGCCATTGGATCAGCGCGGTGCGCCGGCCGCAGCAGCCATTGGAGAGTGAACCAATGGCAAAGGAAGACCTGTCTCTCTGTCTCACTGTCCACTCTGCTTGTCACACACACACACACAAAAAAAAATTGATTTATTTGAAAGGGATGTGAGTTTTTTTTTAAAGATTTATTTATTTACTTGAAAGGCAAAGTTATAGAGAGGCAGAGGAAGGGAGAGAGAGAGAAAGAGAGAGGTCTTCCATCACTGGTTCACTCACCAGATGGCCGCAGCAGTGGGAGCTGCACCAATACAAAGCCAGGAGCCAGGAGCTTCTTCCAGGTCTCCCACATAGGTACAAGGACCCAAGGACTTGGGCCATCTTCCACTGCTTTCCCAGGCCACTGCAGAGAGCTGGATTGGAAGTGGAGCAGCTGGGACTCAAACCGGCGCCCATTTGGGATGCCGGCACTGCAGGCGGAGGCTTAGCCTACCACGCCACAGTGCCAGCACTGCAGCTGATGCATTTTTAGTATATGTTCTGCCGAAGTGCGCACAAGTCAATGCATTTTAAAAAATTTTATTTTCTTGAAAGACAGTTAAGAAGAGAGAAAGTTTTGGTTTACTCCCCCAAATGGCCTTAACAACTGGGGCTGGGCCAATTGGAAGCCACAAGCCTAGAACTCCATCCGGATCTCCCACATGAGTGCAGGGGCCCAAGCACTTGGGCCATCTTCTACTGCTTTCCCAGGCCACAGCAGAGAGTGGGATTCGAAGTGGAGCAGCCGGGACTCGAACCTGCACCCATATGGGATGCTGGTGTCACATGGCAGAGGCTTAAGTCACTGTACCACAACTGGCCCCGAATACATTTTTAAAAATGATTTCTTTATTAATTTGAAAGGCAGAATGACAGAGACAGAGAAGAGAATCCATCCACTGGGCCACTCCTCAAATGCGTGCAACAGCTGGGGTTAGACCAAGCCAAAGCCAGGAGCCAGGGATTCCACCATGGTCTCCCATGGGGGTCACAGGGACCCAAGCACATGGGCCATCACCTGCTCTGTCCAAGGTGCTTTAGCAGGGAGATGGCTCAGAAGCTCGGAGTGTCTGGGGCTGGAACCAGGCACTCCAATGTGGGGTGTGGATGTCCCAGGTGGTGGCCTAACCCACTGCAGCATGAGGCCCGCCTCTCAGTGCACTTTCCACTTACGATGTTGTCAGCAGGGTAGGGGGATCAGGCTGCCACACTGTAAACCAGGAGCCTCTGTAACATAATAGTCAGATACCACGAGAGCAGCCACAGTTCAAAAGGCTGACCAGGACAGGCACCTGGCCCAGCAGTTAAGACACTGATAAAGAGATGCATCCCGGGCTGGCGCCGCGGCTCACTAGGCTAATCCTCCGCCTAGCGGCGCCAGCACACCGGGTTCTAGTCCCGGTCGGGGCGCCGGATTCTGTCCCGGTTGCCCCTCTTCCAGGCCAGCTCTCTGCTGTGGCCAGGGAGTGCAGTGGAGGATGGCCCAGGTGCTTGGGCCCTGCACCCCATGGGAGACCAGGAGAAGCACCTGGCTCCTGGCTCCTGCCATCGGATCAGCGCGGTGCGCCGGCCGCAGTGCGCTGGCCGCGGCGGCCATTGGAGGGTGAACCAACGGCAAAGGAAGACCTTTCTCTCTATCTCTCTCTCTCACTGTCCACTCTGCCTGTCAAAAAACAATTAATAGAAAAAAAGACCCATCCCACGGGGTCGGAGCTGTGGCATAGCGGGTTAAAGCCCCAGCCTACAGTGCCGGCATCCCATGTGGACGCCGGTTCGAGTCCTGCTGCTCCACTTCCCATCCAGCTCCCTGCTAATGCACCTGGGAAAGCTGTAGAAGATGGCCCAAGTGCTTGGGCTCCTGCACCCACATGGGAGACCTGGAAGAAGCTCCTGGCTCCTGGCTTGTGGCCATTTGGGGAGTGAACCAGCATATGGAAGACCCCCCCCACCCTCTGGCTCTATCTCTCTCTGTAATTCTGCCTTTCAAATAAGTAAATAAAATAAATATTTTAGAGAGAGAGATTCATCTCACTTGGGAGAACCTAAGTTCAAGTCCTGGCTCTACCCTAATCCAAGCTTCCTGCTCGTGCACACCCTGGGAGGCAGCAGGTGATGCCTCAGCTACTCCCCACGTGGGAGACCCGGATTGAGGTCCGGGCTTCTGGCTTTGGCTTGGCCAACCCCGGCTGTGGTGGGCATTTGGAGAGTGTGTCAGCAAATGGGAGTTCTGGGTCTCTGCCTTTCTCTATGTCTCATATAAATAAATATTTTTTAAAAAGAGACAGAAGTGGGACGTTATAAATATATGCAGCTTCTTGTATGTTGATTACACCTCAATAAAGCTGAAAAATTGACATGGAGGGCCAGCGCTGTGGCACAGAGGGTTAACGCCCTGGCCTGCAGTGCCGGCATCCCATATGGGCACCGGTTCTAGTCCTGGCTGCTCCACTTCCGATCCAGCTCTCTGCTGTGGCCTGGGAAAGCAGTGGAAGATGGCCCAAGTGCTTGGGGCCCTGCACCCACGTGGGAGACCTGGATGGAGCTCCTGGCTCCTGGCTTCGGATTGGCGCAGCTCCGGCCATTGCAGCCATCTGGGGAGTGAACCATCGTACGGAACACCTCTCTCTCTCTCTCTCTGCCTCTCCTTCTCTCTGTGTGTAACTCTGACTTTCAAATAAGTAAATAAATCTTAAAAAAAAAAAAAAAGAAGCCGGCGCCGTGGCTCAATAGGCTAATCCTCCACCTTGCGGCGCCGGCACACCGGGTTCTAGTCCCGGTCGGGGCGCCGGATTCTGTCCCGGTTGCCCCTCTTCCAGGCCCAGCTCTCTGCTGTGGCCCGGGAGTGCAGTGGAGGATGGCCCAGGTGCTTGGGCCCTGCACCCCATGGGAGACCAGGAAAAGCACCTGGCTCCTGGCTCCTGCCATCGGATCAGTGCGGTGCGCCGGCTGCAGCGGCGGCCATTGGAGGGTGAACCAACGGCAAAGGAAGACCTTTCTCTCTCTGTCTCTCTCTCTCACTGTCCACTCTGCCTATCAAAAATAAAA